TGGCAGTTGAAAACTAAACCTTCTTTACCTTTTTTTTGCGGTGGCAGGCTCCCAGGTGAAAATGTGACAGCTGCAAGCTGGATATTCTTGACGTTTTTGCGGTGGCAGGCTCCCAGATGAAAATGCGACACTTGCAAGCTACACCTTCTGTGGTTTTTTGCGGTGGCAGGTTCCCAGATGAGTGCGTCAGTTGAAAGCTGAACCTTCTTAACTTTTTTTTGCGGTGGCAGACTCCCAGGTGAAAATGTGCATTTTTGCGGTGGCAGGCCCCCAGATGAGTGCAGGAGTTGAAAGCTGGACCTTTTTTTTTTTCCCCGGCGACAGGTTGTAACATTTGCTTCGGGGTCCTGGTATGAGGTTGTGGTATGAGGCAGGCCCTTGCGTAGCAACGTAGTGCGTATAGAGTTGTTTCTTCTACCAAAACAAGTTCCTGTTGCTGCAGCTGCGATAATGTCTAACCTGATCTGTTCTTGTTGTTTCTGGCAAGCAGAACTGGCGATGAGGGATGAATTTAACGTTGGGCTAAGGTGCTTAAACGTTCAAGATACCACAAAAGGTTTTGGTTCATTTTGACAGCAGAACGGTGGTCATGGAAGTCCAAAACATCTAAGGAGTGTGTAACAACTCACCTGCCGAATGGACGCAAGGGTTGCGATGCAGCTTTTGGCGTGAGCCTCAAATTTTTGTGGAAGAAGTGGGCCGTTTTTGGCAAGCAGAACTGGCGATGAGGGATGAATTTAACGTTGGGCTAAGGTGCTTAAACGTTCAAGATACCACAAAAGGTTTTGGTTCATTTTGACAGCAGAACGGTGGTCATGGAAGTCCAAAACATCTAAGGAGTGTGTAACAACTCACCTGCCGAATGGACGCCAGGGTTGCGATGCAGCTTTTGGCGTGAGCCTCAAATTTTTGTGGAAGAAGTGGGCCGTTTTTGGCAAGCAGAACTGGCGATGAGGGATGAATTTAACGTTGGGCTAAGGTGCTTAAATGTTCCAGATGCCACAACAGGTTTTTCTTCATTTTGACAGCAGAACGGTGGTCATGGAAGTCCAATACATCTAAGGAGCGTGTAACAACTCACCTGCCGAATGGACGCCAGGGTTGCGATGCAGCTTTTGGCGTGAGCCTGAGCGAACCAGCCTCTCGTGCAAATTTTTGTGGAAGAAGTGGGCCGTTTTTGGCAAGCAGAACTGGCGATGAGGGATGAATTTAACGTTGGGCTAAGGTGCTTAAACGTTCAAGATACCACAAAAGGTTTTGGTTCATTTTGACAGCAGAACGGTGGTCATGGAAGTCCAAAACATCTAAGGAGTGTGTAACAACTCACCTGCCGAATGGACGCCAGGGTTGCGATGCAGCTTTTGGCGTGAGCCTGAGCGAATCAGCCTCTCGTGCAAATGTTTGTGGAAGAAGTGGGCCGTTTTTGGCAAGCAGAAATGGCGATGAGGGATGAATTTAACGTTGGGCTAAGATGCTTAAACGTTCAAGATACCACAAAGGTTTTTGTTCATTTTGACAGCAGAACGGTGGTCATGGAAGTCCAAAACATCGAATCTAAGGAGTGTGTAACAACTCACCTGCCGAATGGACGCAAGGGTTGCGATGCAGCTTTTGGCGTGAGCTTGAGCGAATCAGCCTCTCGTGCAAATTTTTGTGGAAGAAGTGGGCCGTTTTTGGCAAGCAGAACTGACGATGAGGGATGAATTTAACGTTGGGCTAAGGTGATAAAACGTTCAAGATACCACAAAAAGTTTTGGTTCAATTTGAATAGATATAGATGTAGATGTAGATGTAGATATAGATATAGATATAGATATAGATATATGTGTGGCCCACAAGAATATGGTTGTAAAATGATCTACATGCGTTCAAAGGTAATAAGAGAGAACGAAATATATTTGACATTTTGATCTGGCAATCTTCTGGCATGGCTGCAGCTCAAAACAAATTCTGACCGCCCAAAGTCAGTGCGTGGCAGGCCCATTTTAATTTGGATATGCTGCTGTTGATTTTTGACCAAAATTACAATCAAAAAAGCACTGCCAAAAAATCATGCCAGTTAAAATGGAATATTGTTTTGTGACAACAAGATACTAGTTTTCGCTTAATTTCTCTAGATCCATGTCTTTTTGGTCACCAACGCTAGTGAAAAAGGGATGCACCTTTCAAGAACAAAACCTGGGAAGCTGAGGCCAATTAAAATGGAATATAGTTTTGTGACACCAAGTTTCCAGATGATTGTTTTGTTTTTTGGCTGAATTTCTTTAGATGCATGTTTTTCGTCGCAAATGCTCTAGACAAATGAATGCAGTTTGCCAGAACAAAACCGGGGCGATCTGGCAGCTTGATGTCACAAGACTATATGCCATTTTAATTGGCTCCAACCGCCCAAGTTTTGTTCGTGAAAGGTGCATCCCTTTTTCACTAGCGTTTGTAACCAAAAACAACGCATCTAAAGAAATAAGGGGAAAACATCGAAAAAACAATCTGGAAACTTGGCGTCACAAAAATATACTCCATTTTAATTGGCCCCAGCGCCCCAAGGTTGTGTTCTTGAAGGGTGCATCCCTTTTTCACTAGCGTTTGTGACCAAGAAACACGTATCTGAAGAAATCAAACGAAAAAATGCGACAAAATGATCTGGCAGCTTGGTGTCACAAGACTATATGCCATTTTAATTGGCCCCAAGCGCCACAATTTTGTTCTTGAAAGATGCATCTCTTTTTCACTAGCGTTTGTGATCAAAAACAATGCATCGTAAAAAAACCGAAAAAATCGAACAGAAACATCTGGAAACTTGGTGTCACAAAAATATACTCCATTTTAATTGGCCCCAAGGTGCATCCCTTTTTCACTAGCGTTTGTGACCAAGAAACGCGCATCTAAAGAAATCAAGCGAAAAAATGCGACAAAATGATCTGGCAGCTTGGTGTCACAAGACTATATGCCATTTTAATTGGCCCCAATCGCCAAAATTTTGTTCTTGAAAGGTGCATCCATTTTTGAGAAGCGATTTTAACCAAAAACACGCATCTAAAGAAATCAATCGAACAAATGCGAAAAATACTCTGGAAACTTGGTGTCACAAAACTAAATGGCCGCCCTTCCCAGAATATGTTCTTGAAAATGCCAGCAATTGTTGAATAACCTTTCTGTGGCCAGAAACAAACCTTGAAAAGAAAAAACAAAAACAAAGTAAAATAACAAACTTGTATCTTAGCAACCTTTCCAAGGTTTTCTCCTTGAAGTTTTCTGGTCCAGTTTTCCACACCTTTTATGGCCCAAATCAGGCAAAAAATAAACAAATTATTGGGCTGCTTTGGCTCTTTGTTTGTGCTTTGCGACAGTATTTGGTTTTGCGTTGGTGCCTCTTTCTTCCTGTAACTTTCTTTTGCCCTTCTCTGTTTTTCTCTCAGCCTGTGATTCGTTCCTTCTTGTGTATTTCGCTTGCGCACGCTCCTTCCTCCCGCGTTTTCCATCTTAGATGCTGACAATTTAATTTGGAGACTCATGGATTTGGTGGTATCCCACTTCTTCCTTTTTCGGACCCCAGGGACCTGTGACACGGCATATGATTGATGTCCGCATGTTGCGCATGCGTTGTGCAAATTCGATCAAATTCAACCTTTGCCACTCTGGTTGCATCCCTCGCTGCAGCAAGAAACCGAAGTGACTTTTCATGTTCATGTTGACAGCTTCATAAGGGCAACTTGTAGGCGCGATTTGGTGCCATTGCAACAGCACATTTTTGCTATGTGAGTTTTTGGGCGTTTCATGAAGCACGTGAGTTCACTTCAACATCTTTGTTTGATTTCATGTGGATTCGCACCGGCCGCGGATGCGGCGAAATGACATTCTGCAATGGTTGCGGGCGAACGAAATTATCATTGATGATGATGATGCGCAGTTGACAGATGAACATGGGCTTTCTGCAGAGAGTCGTGGCCAACCTCTACAGCATGATCAGCAAGAACAAATTTCTTCGGAGGAGAACTGCGTCGGTGGTGATCAGCATGAGAATGAGGATCCTGAGTTGAGTGGTGAACAGCGTTTTTTGGCAGAGGGTAATGACCCACCTCCACAGCATGATCAGCAGGAACGAGCCTCTTCTGAGGAGCCTGGCCTTGGTGATGCTCAGCATGCACTTTCTCAGTCGCCTGGGGAGCGTAGCATTGGTGATCATCAATGCGAAGAGCTTGAGTTGACTGATGCAGAGCGACCTTCTGCAGATGTTAGTGACCAATCTCAACAGCATGATCAGCAGGAACAAGTCTCGCCTAATGAGCGCGGCCTTGGTGATGCTCAGCATGAAGGTTCAGAATTGCCTGATGCTCCGCCAGGTATGGGTGATGCAGATAATCAAAATGATGCTGAGTTGACTGATGAACAGGGACCTTCCAGCTCCAGCTCCTCACGGTCATCGTCGGAAGTGGAAGCGGAATCCGAAGATGAATGCCCCTTGCACGACCGTGTTGACAATTACAGAAGTGCGGCCAAAGATGATCGCAGACAAGTCTACATGTGGACCTATGCCCGAGCACCAGAGATGAGCCGAGAAGATGTTGCAACCGTCATTACGAATGCCTATGCTGCAGCAGGTGTGCAGATTCTCCACTACTCGGTGTTTCGTGAGCATCACCCGACCTCCCGGTCTGAGCTAGAGCGGCAGTTCCATTTCCATATCATCGTAGAGAGCGATGAGAGACACCGATGGCGAGCAATTGCGCGGGTTCTTCGAAGCCAAGACCGCCCCATGCACTGCTCGGCGGCCGGCTCCGGCCGTTCGGTCTACTGGGGTGCATTTGCTTATTGTTATGTGCCCAGTGCCAAGAAGCCTCGGGAACACTTAGACACTTGTTACCTCTTGAGTCGTGGGCATCCAGACATTTTGCAACGGCTTGTGAAAGACAGACGTCCAAAGCGTGTGAAGCCATTGGAGCTTGGAAATGTTCTTCGACAACAAGAGATTCGATCCTTGGATGCTTTCTATGCCTTTGCAAAAAGGCAGGCGGATGGTGGCGACGATCGGTGGTTGAGCGTGGCCTATGGGACGCAGGCGAAAAGACTGCAGGAACAGATTGCTGCTGTTTGGGCTGTCGAAACCGCAGGCAGAAGATTGGAGGACTTGAACTGGCTCCGCTTTGTGTCTTGCGCACTGTGTTGGACACTTGTTTCAAAAGGATTCATGGTAGCAGGTCGGAAGTGCATGTAGCAAGGCAAAGGATTCAAAGGCAAGGTCTTCGGTGTGAGTGTTTTTGGTGCTCCATCCTTGGATGTGCATGTTAGAAATTATTATCGGTTTTGTTATATATGTCATATGTCAGCCCAAGCAGATCTGGCATGTGTCCCAGTTGAATGAAAACCTTCTAAGAAGCTCCAGCTGAATTTAGAAACGACCTTAAATATGAGTTTTTCTGGACTCTGTACTACATGAGATACACCCCTCAAAGAGCCAGCCCGTTTGTGATGGCAGGACCGAGATGCATCTCATTTTGACATCCTTTCTCAAGGTCTGCGCCACACTTGCTCTTGCAACGGCCGCGCCATTCCTGGATGGAACTTTTTGCTGGAGCACAACGGCATTGCCATTGCGGACTACCGGGACTCCATTGTGCGCTTGTTCCAGTCTGGTGGAGGAAAAGGAATGAATCATTTCTACTATGGTGCTCCTTCGTCTGGGAAAACCGCATTGACGCGGCCAATCCTAGCTCTTTTCAAGCAATATGTCATGTTGAAGCCGCAAGTGGCAACATCCTTCCCATTGCACCCCTCATCGGAAAGAAGGCCTTGGTTTGGAACGATTTCCGGTTCCCACATCCGCCACTGTCCTGGGGTGACCTCCTGAATATTTTGGATTGCGAGCCATTTCTGATTGGCGTGCCCAAGGGAGGAGAAGGAGCCCAAGACTACATGTGGAATGTGAACCACAATGAAAATGTGATCGTGTTCATGACGTCGCAGCATCCAATCCAGGGACCGACCCATTTGGACACAATGGCCTGGGACAGCAGATTTGGCTCCATGCTTCATTTTCCGCACACTTTACCCAATCCAGACCCTGCTTTCAAGAAGATTTTCAGTTGCACAAAATGTTATGCATCGTGGATCCTGCAGAGAGACCAAGAGGTGCGGGTGAGAAGTCGCAGCAGATGAAAATCAAATGGATTCCATGTAAGCAGATGAAGCCCTTGACGCCCAGAAAGAAAAGCCGTGGGGAATTTTCTTCTGCTGTCAATGTTGACATGCCGGGGACCTTTCAGAATTAAATCTCTGATGTCTATCGAGGAGACCTCCCAGAATGAAACCCTTTGATGTCTATTGATGTCTTTCCAATCCTAAGAGACACGGATGTTCTTGGCTTCGATCCTCGAAGAGAATGGGGTTTAACTTCTTGACCGTTTTTTTCCCCTCAACCGCAGTTTACCCGAAATCTGAGATTCCGTCAAAATTTGGGCTGCTTAAGTGTGTACTGGGGTGTGCATCGGATGTTGACTGTTGCATGAAACCCGCTAAAACAATAGGGGACTCACAGCAAAGCGATACGTTTTTTGGTTGCGCATGCTTGCGCGTTTTGTGGTGTGGGCATAGTGTTTGCTTAGGCAGGGTTGTTTTTCACGGATGGATCCACTTCACCATGAATGGGTGTGCCCATGCGGTGGGTTGACTTTAAGACTTTACATGGCTTTACATTACTTTAGCCACCTAGGTGGGGCTGCTTAACCTCGGCAGCGAGTAGCTCAGATTACGGAAACCATGCATCTATTCGCAGGCAGTATAGGAGTGGCCAACTCCATGCTGCCTGGCCTAGCTTTGGTACACCGCGGCGAACTATTCATTCAGTCTTGCACGCATGTGACAACCAACGACAGTATTTTTTTTCCAAAAGCGCCCCGGGTGACCGACTGGTCACACAAAAGGCCGAACCGGTGGTGGATGTTGGCAATATGTTGTAGTGATGGACTAAAGGTTTGTGCCCCGGCTGGATAAATTTTGAGGTTAGCAGCTGTAAGTGGCCAAAGCATGCCACAACCCATTTTCTTTCCAACAGACATGCTGGTTGAAGAGACCGCCCAAGCAGCGCGAAGGAGGACCAGACAGGCACGGGCAAAAGCACAAGTGCGCCCCAACGCGCGCAAACAAAGATCGCCAAGGATGAGAATCCGAGTGGACGCGCTTCAAAACTATGCTTAAGCAGAGGTAAAATATTGCCAAAATATATGTAAAAAAGGAAACCATGTAAAACGGTAAGGGGCTCACTAACTTGATGATGCACTTGACGTAATGGATCAGATGGTGGTTTATGCGAACAGCAATTAGACATGGGTTAGTCGATCCTAAGAGAGACCGATGTTCTGCAGCTTTGCTTCGATCCTCGAAACGGCCTCCTAGCGTTTTTTTCCTTAACCCCAGTTTACCCTGAAATCAGATTATAGTAAAATTGCAAGTCAAGCACCTTGTCTTCCCAGGTGTCTTGATGTTTGCGCTGAGCAGAAACTACTTGAGTATTGCGGCCGTGAGTCTGAGCGAAGCAGCCTCCGTGGCAGCAGTAGCACGGTTCAAATGAAGTGGGGAAGGGTTTCATGTGAACCTCATTTGGACATGGGTCAATCGATCCGAAGACATGTTCCGCACACGCAAGCTTTGCGTCCATCCTCGAAAGGGACTCGGACATCAGATAGTTGTTTATGCAAACAGCAATTAGACATGGGTTAGTCGATCCTAAGAGAGACGGATGTTCCGCATCTTTGCTTCGATCCTCGAAAGGAAGCAGCCCGAGGGAATACATCTGAGTGTTGGTTGCTTGATTTTGATTTTCAGTACGGTGGTTTCACGTTGTGCAATTTTTCTTTGGCAACTCGGACCTGTTCAGTCGATGGTTTCATTTGTGATGGACTGTTGTTTGAGACTGATTTGATTTTATTTCTCGACGTGGCGTAACCCGACGATTAGCGCGGCGAATATATATATATGTCTATACATCTGAGTGTGCATGTCTCTTCATGATTGCGTAGTACGACGCGCGTTTGTGGAAGGCCCAGTACTGTTTGTTGGCAGGTGCAGCTGCTTAGTTGAAAGAAAAGCCGCAGGGGATCCCCTTGAACCCCTGCAGTCAATGTTGACATGCCGCGGACTTTTCAGAATAAATGTTTGATGTCTATCGAGGAGACCTCCCAGAATGAAAGCCTTTCATGTCTATTGATGTCTGTTCGATCGGTATTCAAACATTGACAAATTTCAACATTGACCGCAGGGGTCGCAGGGGATTGGGTGTGGTCACATTTTTCTAGGGGTCTCTAGCAGATGAAATGAGAACGCAGAAATAGATAAGATGGGACGGAATTAATTACATTAGCAGAAAAAGCGACTAGAAGAATGTAGACGTAGCTGACACAGCATGCTGTGGTGAATTGTGGCCCCTGATACCGTCAGTGCGCACGATGCTTCAGTACAGATCTTACGTCGATTTCGTGCAGAGCACAGCTGCCCACACCACAAGATTAAAAGGCGTGCTGTGTGCCGTCATGCTTTTGGGTTCTCTGGCCCACCTTGCTTTTGTCACTTTAACGCTGACTGCAGGGGTTGCAGGGGTTGCAGGGGACTTGGACTGGCCCAGATGTTATGATTGTAATGAGGAGCTGGAATGAAACATTTCGCCTGCAGCCATCCTGTGAAGGCTCCACCGACCTTTGCATGCTCTTCGAGAATATCCTTCACTATTTCCGATTGGCTACATTGTCTTTGCCGTGATGGGGCCATTTTTGGAATCGAAATATAGGCCCTATTTAGGGGTTCATGGTTTGTTCTGTGATAGTACCAGGTGGTGATGCGGATTGGCAACCACCGTCTTCTGAGCCAGATGTGGCCCATACGAGCATACACGTGTTGTTACAACAGGCCGAGAAGGAGAAAGAGTGAAGGAAATCAACAGGACATCCTGGAGCATTTGCCGGGATACCTGGTGAAGCAACTGGCCTCGTGCTCAAGGGCTTGGAAGGACATGAAATGTCCATTTTGAGCAAGAAAATCGAACAAAACAACACAAAATCCACAAAAACAACCAAACACGACGACCCACAAATCCTCCAGCCAGACTTGCGTTTCGCCAGAGGGACCAGCGAAGCAAATAACAGAAAACCAAAAACAACAAAACGGGGCCAGAGCCCACCCACAAATTCGATTAGCCAAGGGACACAGTGGCTTGTCCACTGCATCACTCAAAAACATGCCAACGAATTTAAACCAGCATTCGAGCAAACATGAAGGCTCAGCCAGCTTGTATGTCTACCCAGGCATAGATGTGCCGAACTGTACAAAAACACGGGCTCCAACTTATGGCTCTCTCAGCGTCCTCTCAGATCAACTTGTCCAGAAGCCTCCATGGACAGAGTCGTCACCAAATATATCAACTGTGAGCAAGAAGCGTGAGTTGAGTCGCAGGAAGCGTTCGCTCCTGCGGTGTGGGCTGTGACACCGCGCGCGTTGCAGGCGCGCAGAGGGAGAAGAAGTCGACCTCGTCTGAAGTGGGTTCGTCGGAGCCAGGGAGGATGAAACTGCCACTAGAAACCCTCTGTCCGGATGCTAAACCTCATCCTCTTCTTCCGTCTCTGGCCTTCGAAGCTTCTCAGGAAAGCGCTGCGGAACCGCTGCCAAAACCGTCTTCCGAAGGCTGTGCCGCAGACTCTTCACGTCGGCTTGCACAAACGTCTTTCCGACTGCTCATGCTCATGTAAGGACCGAGCCTTTAGCGCGACATCGACCAAACTCGTAGTGGCCATCGCACTGGCATGTGTGAGTCTTCCAGAAGCTCATCACCATTTTGTTCGATGATTGTGCCTGGTATTGGAACATCAATGGTTGCCTTTGAGGCTAACCTGCGCTCGCTTGCATTTCATGCATCTGGTGCGAGCAGCCACGTGAGACCAGTAATGCTAGTGCTGGGAATTCCGGTTGGTCTTTCATCGGCAGTACCTCTTCTTTAACAACTAGTTTAGGCATGTAGCGGTTGGGCTGCTGGGACAGCTCGCTGGACTCCGTACAGGTCCACTACCAGCACTTTTGTGGCTTTCGACAAATTGACAGCCTTGCAGGATAATTACAATTCATCTTTTTGCTGCGATTGAACGTGTGTAACGACCTGGCAGAAGCCATGAAGGAGTTGAACGGAAAAAATGTAGCGGTTGGAGCTGCCCTTGGACTGTTTGAGGTGTAGGCGCTTTGGGCACCGCGATGTCTTCGAACCAGATGGAGCGGACAGACTGGACACCTATTGTACTGGCGGAACTCGCGTTCTTGATGCTTTCTCTGCGTAGGCTGTGGTAGACAGGAGGGATCATCCATGCAGGCACAAAAACAGTGATATGTATCGGTCCTCTACCAGTTTACTTTTGCGGCCATTACAGCTTCGGCCCCTGCACGAGTCAATTAATTAATCTCATTTGCAACATGCTTGGAAACATGTTCAACGACCTGGCGAAAGCCATAAGGCGTTGGACGGAAAAAACAAAAACAGTGATAAACTGAACGTTCCAGATAACCGTAGGTTCTGCGGCTTAATTTCTGGAGTGATGCATCTAACTTGGCCATCTACGACTCGCGTGTACGATTCAGATCGGTCAAACGATGCTGTGACTTTTAAGCCGAGGTTAGTTCTCTAAACCAGTATTCTTTGAGCAACACAAAGGAAAGATGGGGTGCCCTCACTTCCAATACGTGCGTTGCTGGTATCAGGAAGGTGACTAACCATTCCGCCAAAAATTCGATCATCCTTGCTTCAAGCTTTGGGAGGATTTTCTGACCGCCTGGCGCTGTCTCGATGTCTGGGACATGTGTAGCCGAGGTAATCCT